TGTGTTAGTTTGGTGTCAGTAGCTCGTCAGTGTTGTGCTCCTGCTCGTTAAATAGTGTAAACCTTAGATTATTTAGATACTGATGTGTTAGTTTGGTGTCAGTAGCTCGTCAGTGTTATGCTCCTGTTTGTTAAATAGTGTAAACCTTAGATTATTTAGATACTGATGTGTTAGTTTGGTGTCAGTAGCTCGTCAGTGTTATGCTCCTGTTTGTTAAATAGTGTAAACCTTAGATTATTTAGATACTGATGTGTTAGTTTGGTGTCAGTAGCTCGTCAGTGTTGTGCTCTTGTTCGTTAAATAGTGTAAACCTTAGATTATTTAGATACTGATGTGTTAGTTTGGTGTCAGTAGCTCGTCAGTGTTGTGCTCCTGTTTGTTAAATAGTGTAAACCTTAGATTATTTAGATACTGATGTGCGAGTTTGGTGTCAGTAGCTCGTCAGTATTTTGTTCTTGTTCGTTAAGTAGTGTAAACCTTAGGCTACTGACACCAAACTCGCACATCAGTATCTAAATAATGGAGCACAACACTGACGAGTGTTCGTTAAATAGTGTAAACTCTAGATTATTTAGATACTGATGTGCGAGTTTGGTGTCAGTAGCTCGTCAGCATTGTGCTCCTGTTTGTTAAGTAGTGTAAACCTTAGATTATTTAGATACTGATGTGCGAGTTTGGTGTCAGTAGCTCGTCAGTGTTTTGCTCCTGTTCGTTAAGTAGTGTAAACCTTTATCTTGGTTCTTTACTGTCTCCAGGTATTACAACTTAGTATATCACAGAGAAACGATGATGTGAGAAGTTTTTTCTAAATGTAAACAATAATGATGTTTATTGTACACTGGTACTTTATCTAGTGACTTGTATCACACTTAGTTACTTTATCTAATGATGTTTATTGTACACAGTTACTTTATCTAGTGACTTGTATCACACTTAGTAACTTTATATAATGATGTTTATTGTACACTGTTACTTTATCTAGTGACTTGTATCACACTTAGTTACTTTATCTAATGATGTTTATTGTACACGGTTACTTTATATAATGATGTTTATTGTACACTGTTACTTTATCTAGTGACTTATTTTATACAATATGAACAAATATGTTTTACATTGAGTCCAGTTTTGTAGGTGTAGTAGTTAAATAAAAGTAAATACCAGTGACGATAACTTAACACATAAGTAATAGCTATTGTGATTTGTTCGATTGTGATCATTTCTTTTTTTCTCCCTGTGAGCAGAAAGCCAGAGTAACATCTACAACCAAGTCTAAGCAGTCAAACCAACCTTATTCTTATGGGGTAAGTGAAACAGCCAAAAATATTGTTAACAGCAAGGGGGTGCCTAATTGATGAGATAATTCATTCTAATATTATAAGTATAATTTCACTTTAAGTACATTTCATTTTGTTTACTCCAATCAGAAATTACTGTTAATAGGAAGTTTTCGTTCTGGTTATTGAACTCTTGGGTAAACATTTTACATCATAGTAGTGCTTGTCTGTAGCTTCTTTCTGTGTTCTGCTGATTCCAAAGATACAGTAGACATAGCTAATCCTGATATACCACTGGTACTATTAAAATACTTGGTGTAGATTAGACAGACAAGTGTTCTGAAACTATACATTTAGACAAGGTCAGAAATCTTTACTACTCTCTGACAAATATCCAAATATAATTGTACATGTATTTTTTTACAGGAGGTTGGGAGAGGGGATAAGATTTGGTGGGGGATATCAATGTTAAAAGACCATTCTTGGTCTCCTCTTCATGTACGTCCATCTATTTACAAACATCAATTTTGTCTCCTCTTCATATACGTCCATCTATTTATAAACATCGGGTTTGTCTCCTCTTCATGTACGTCCATCTATTTACAAACATCAATTTTGTCTCCTCTTCATGTACGTCCATCTATTTACAGACATCGGGTTTGTCTCCTCTTCATGTACGTCCATCTATTTACAGACATCGGGTTTGTCTCCTCTTCATATACGTCCACCTATTTACAAACATCGGGTTTGTCTCCTCTTCATGTACGTCCATCTATTTATAAACATCGGGTTTGTCTCCTCTTCATATACGTCCACCTATTTACAAACATCGGGTTTGTCTCCTCTTCATGTACGTCCATCTA